TTTCATTAGCTTTTTTAATATTTATTTTTATTTATTTTATATTCATTACCTTTTTTTTATTATTTATTTTATTTTCTTAAGTTTTTTTCATTATTTATTTTTATTTATTTTATTTTCATTACTTTTTTTATTATTTATTTTTATTTATTTTATGTTCATTACTTTTTTTATCTCCTTATACAATTTGAAAGAAAATCGTTTGTAGGTAATGGCGGGGACTGGAAATCTAGACATAATGCGCCTCGTCCGCCACCTAAGAAGGAGGGTGGGGGTGTCGAACAGCCCCGTCGTGACTTACGGATCGCATTTGGCCATACATATGGCCTTGGGTCTTCTATTTCTAGGAGGTGGTAGATACACCCTCTCTAACTCTCCCTCTAGCGTAGCCGCCCTCATTTGTGCGTTCTATCCCAAGTTTCCTACACACAGCAATGATAACAGGTACGTTTTGTTCTCTTTCGGTTACAGTTCGTTCTTATTTTGTTTTTCCAGGTACCACTTACAGGCCTTCAGGCATTTATACGTATTGGCGGTGGAACCCAGGTTGGTTATTCCTAAGGAGGTTCACTTGGACGAAATATGCTACGCAAATCTTAAGATCGTGAAGCTGAATGGAGCTACGATAAACATTAAGGCGCCGGGAATTATACCTGATCTCAACACATTGATTAAAGTCGTGGTGGATGACGAAAGGTACTGGCCGGTGGTATTTGAGAGGGGTCAAAACTGGGAGCTTTTGGTGTAAGTGTTAATTAAAAATTAAAGTAGCGGATCGTTTAGTGAATTTTTTTTTTTTTACAGTAAAATCCTCTCCACTACGGGTTACATCGAAGTGAAGCAGCGAGCCGGGTGTCTCAGCTACATAGCGGATAAATTTGGATACCACAGCCAGCTCGCGAGGACTCTTACTCAGTCGGAAGTGGTACCTTGGGACCCTTCCCCGTCGGCGATAATGTCCTTCACGTCAGACGAGTCGATAAAATTGTTCTGCGATCACTTTCTAGCCACCGACGTACCCGGAATGTGTCCAACCGAAGCTAAACTCAAGCAGATGCTCTCGAAAATCACCTACGACGCTGTGGTTAAGGACAAGCTGATTGTGATATTAGTTTTTACGGCATTAGTTAAGGTTGGTAGAAATCGATTGTATGCGTTTTTTTTAACAAATTAATTTTTCCAGGCCATTCTAGAGTTAGATTCCTCCCCAAATACGTTTAATATGTGGCAGTTGAAGCTGGTGTCGACACAAGTGCTTTCCAGGTCTGCTATTTTCGATCTCATTTCCAAAGAAACTATTATGTCTCTGCAGCAAGAAGTCGTGGGCGTCTTCGATGGGTGGGAAGAAAATTTGAGGCAAACGTTACGGAGGTTTTTGTCGGGCGAAGATTTTAGCATGGACGCAGACGTTACGAAACTAAAGAAGCTTGCCAGTTACGTAACTTTCTATGATTTTCCTTACAAAGTTAATATTTGGAAAGGCAACGTATTAGAAACTTTCGCTAAGATGCAAACAAGCGGTTTGTCCACTGAAACCATTAAAAAAATTTTAAAGATGGGCGACGTGTATTGTTAAATGTGATTATTTATTTTGTTAGCTTAATGGCTTAACTTGAATTATATTTTTTGTATATGTTGAGAATAGATTTATTTTGATATTTCCAGCCGAGTGTATGCTTTCCGTCACATCAAATGTTGAACTTAAATGTATTATCTCGTCGACCTTTTGCTTTCCTGATGCAAATCTTAATGTACATGTCGAAATTAAATTTAAAAGTATCAGGAGCATTTTTTGTGTAAATACTTCTTCGATCTTCTACTTTCCTGATGCAAATATTCGAAATTTCAAATAAATGATTTTAAAAAATGAATTTGAAAGTATCAGTAGTGATTTCTGTAAATACCTTCTGGAAAATGGGAGTACTGGCGATAGAAAAAGGCCGAACGTTATTTTTATTCTTTATTAGACATTAAAAAAAGAAGAAATAAATACAATAATAAGTGCTAAAAATATACAGTTAGCTATATAAACATTATTGACTACGACTACATTAGTTTTATTTACGTTTTTGTTGCCAAAAAGTGCCACAACATGTTTCGTTGACATTTCTCATTTTTACACCTTTAAATTCCAAATTTGTATTAAATCATTAGGACCCTTAAATCTTAAATTTATACCAAAAAAAAACATTAGTTAACTGCAGTAGTATTAGTGAGATTCCGTTACTATGCTAATAATATATGAATAAATATACAGGGTATCGCAAAAACATCACAGCAGAAGTACTTTTCCCGGTACACAGGTCATTTCTATTATACAACGATTCCACCTACCAAAGTTAATAAATAAAAGAAATCTGACTAGAAATACTAGATAACTGTTTTTATATACATTCCTTATTGGTGCTTGCCAATGCTCCTGAATGTCTCTGCATTGAAAACCCGCCAAATCGTCCTTGACGTTTCTACGACCACCCCGTATTAAATAAATAACTCCAACTTCATATATTTTTTCAGGTACTATACAATCCAAATGGGACGAATTCGTCCCTACATCGATCCAATTTATATACTGCGGCAGTTTCCCCTACACAATCCTACCATTCACATACTAGTATGGGATTAAACCTAAATACTGGATCTACCTATGCCCATCTTTTATCAACTTGTCATATTAAAACGCTCGTCATTAAATAAAAATTCGCAAACTTGTACTGAACGCCTACTAGCTGGTAAACTAATTGACCCCTCCCCGGAAGCACCTCTAACGGGGGCTGCACGTCACACCTAACCTCAAAGTTCTCATCCTCGCGCTCTTTAACGGAACGAGGCTATAAAACTAACCTCTGAGCAAAGATAACCTCTAGTCGTCATTCATCCCGTTTTGTGATAGCGTAATGAGGGGGTTCTATAGCGAATAGGCAACCAGCAATACATTTTTATAGATTTTATTACACAGTTCGTCTAAATATGAATCGATGCACAAATAACAGACTTTCCTCCGTTCTAACGCAGATTTTCTATAAAATGGAGTGAGTTTGAAAGTCAAATTACTTTTTGTTGTCAAGGAATTTGTAATTTGAATCGTGAATTACAAATTTCTTTGCAGCAAAAAGTAATTTTAGTTTCAAATTATCTCCATTTCATAGAAAATCTGCGTTAAAATGGGGGAAAGTTTGTTATTTGTGCATTGATTCATATTTAGACAAACTGTGTTATGAAATCTATAAAAATGTATTGCTGGTTGGCTATTCGCTATAGAGCCCTCTTAAGGGGCTTGAATGGCCCTTACTGATTAGAAAATTGGTCACAACTTTTTTATTTGCCATTTTTCAAATTGTTAAACAGCTTAACATCGAAATCATTAAAATTTCTATAAAAAGATCCTCTTGTTCCACGTCGATAATATTAACCGTTTCTGGAAAAAATGCATTTAACGCTTTGCAATCAAGTTTTCTCCTCAAATCCCAATAAATTGTCGTTATTTTAAAATTTCATAATTTTTATGAAGAAATTAATATAATTTGGCAGATTTTAATGTTTACTATTATACTGGGTGTTACTTTGAACAGGACGCTCCTAGTTGACCTTTAAAATTAATACATTTTTTTTTGTAATTTTTGTACCGATGGACAGTGTAACCTCCCCAATTGGAAGCTACGCATGCATTGTCATAAAATTTGATCTTTGTTAATTCAGATACTCGTTTTTTTTATATCTCGGAGCAATTTAATAATGAAAATGCACAAACACATCGTTTTGCCTAATTAACACTTTTTGGTCAAGGTCATTGAGACGTTGAAATTCACGAACTAAACACAGTGCTTTAAGAGGGCTCTACAGCAAATAGGCAACCAGCAATACATTTTTATAGATTTTATTACACAGTTCATCTAAATACGAATCAATGCACAATTAACAGACTTTCCTCCATTCTAACACTGATTTTCTATGAAATGGACTAAGCTTGAAATGCAAATAACTTTTTGTTGTCAAGAAATTTGTAATTTGAATCGAAAATTACAAATTTCTTTACACCAAAAAGTGATTTGAGTTTCAAACTATCTCCATTTTATAGAAAATCTGCGTTAGAATGGAGGAAAGTCTGTTATTTGTGCATTGATCCATATTCAGACAAACCGTGGAATAAAATCTATGAAAATGTATCGCTGGTTGGCTATTTGCAATAGAGCCCTCTTAATAATTGCGGTTATCGATCTACAATTGCCAACTATTGACCATGTGTCAAATATTCCAATTTTCTGCAAATCGACGGTTGCAACTGCAAATTTACAATTAAAATGTGGTTAATTCGTAATCAGCGACTTTAATAAAACCAAAATGCTGATTTGTATCAATCAATTTTAACAATTTGGCGGCACGATTAACATACGAATTGAGAAGAAAAAATCCTCCACGATATTTAGAAAAAAATAAAGAGGTTACAATTATTACGATCCAAACAGGATAAAAGACGAACCAAACCGCAACTTTGAGGTTACGCCGCGTCCCAGCCCACGTTACGTGCTCGTTTAAATGCAGTTATGTACACGAACGGGAGGGCGCGAGCCCTCCCTTAAGTACATTATCGGTGAAAGATACCAGCACAAACAATATTTAAAAAAATTGCACATTCAACAATATTTTAAACATATTAATGAATTAAAAACGCTTGTATATAATAATAAAGTACTCTACATCGTTTCACTTTTGGATATATATAAAGTTTCCCGTAAATCTACAAACAACAAAGAAAAAACGTGACGAAAGAGTGATGTTCCTTGAATATAATAACAATCAACACGAAGGTACAACTATACTTGGAAAAAAAACATCATTTAAGTAAGTAGCAGCCGTTATTTACAGTATTAGAGGAACTCGACTTAAACAAACATAAAAATAATAACAAACTATCCCCGACGACGATTCCTACAATTGCTACGGTTCATTTCATTTTTTTTTTTACAAAAGTATAGCTGTTGACAGAAAAATATGTAAAAAAATCACAAAGATGTATACTAACGATACTAGATTTAACAACTAATATTAGGTAATTCAATTAATAAAAGTTAAATTTTCCACATTCATCTAAAAAAATGGTTTCTGGTTTTAGTAGTTTCTCGCACAAAAATAACCGATCATACAAAATAGTCCGACTCGTGACAAAAATATTGATAAAACACTCGAATAAATAATTAAAATTGAAAAAAGCGTATTCTCCTTGGAATTTCTCTTCAAACGCTGAATTTTTCTCACTTCAAGAGAGCTGCCTCGGTTGCCGGGCGTCGAGAGAGACAGAGAGCAGAGGAAAAGTCACGAAAACGAAAATTTCAACTTACTCGTCGAAACTGAGACAATGGAACGGCCACTCGGTACTCTCCCCCGTCTCCTCCTACCTGCCCTTGCACCTCTCCACCGCGCACTCGACGGCCTCCGTGATGTTGTCGAACACCGGCACCTGCTTCCGCCTGGCGAGATCCGTGATGTAAACCCTGGCCCTGTTGTAGTCCTTGATGGCGTTCTTGGTCAACTGGTAATGAGAAATCAACCTATTATACTACAACACGATCGTCTGACATAATCGCATCGAAACGGACACGCGGGGTGCATACCAAATTTTGACCACGATATTTCCAGGTTTCTGGTTGGGAAAACGTAAATTTTATATCAATTTCCCTAACTCGTGAAAGTAGCAAATTTTAGCGGGAATCGCATTTTAAATGTCGCGAAACATTGCAGTAATTAAAAATTTTCTGAAATTTGACCGAAGTCTGGGTCTTCTCCTGCATTGATGGTTGCATTCCCTGCCGTGTCGTGAGGATTTACTGCAAAAATCAATATGAGCCCAACAGTGTGCGATAAATAACGCTTTTCTTGATTGTTACTTTTTGTTTCGTAGTTTTTAAAAAATGGCATGCATTTATGAGGACAACAAACTTGTGGACGTTTCTTTCACAAGAAGTGCCAGCAAAGTGCATTCACAGCATCTCGTTTGTACGAGACTTTCATTAAAAAATTATCCAATGCCACAAATATTTAACTTAGTTCAAACGTATCGTGATATAGAGAGTTTTAAAGAAACGAGGATATGTGCAGGAATGCAATCGGTGCACAAATAACAGACTTTCCTGCATTCTAGCACATATTTTCTATAAATCGGAGTTAATTTGAAACTCAAATTACTTTTTGTTGCAAAGAAATTTGTAATTTGCTTCTTTTGCATCGTAAATTACAGATTTCTTTACACCAAAAAGTAATTTGAGTATCAAACTAAGTCCGTTTTATAGCAAATCTGTGTTAAAATGGGGGAAAGTCTTTGGGGGTCGTGAAGTAAAAGTGGACGTGAATTTTGAGGACGTAAAATAACATGACATTTAAAAATTGACAACAAAGTAGTATCAACGTAAAAAAAAACCATTTTTTTTGCAAACCCATTTTCAAACTAATACTGTTGCTTTGTAAATGTAGTCGTACTCTTTCACATCTGCTAATATTTCACAAACAAATATTTCACGTCTGCCAAAATTGGACGGATTCATTAGGGGGTCGTGAAGTAAAAGTGGACGTGAAGTGATTGGATATGTTTAGCGAAGATTTTGAGGACGTAAAATAACATGACATTTAAAAATTCACACCAAAGTAATATCAAAGTAAAAAAACATTTTTTCCGTCGACCACCAGAAAATGGAGTTTTGCAAACCCATTTTTGAACTAATACCGTCACTTTGTAAATGTAGTCTTTCACATCTGCAAATATTTCACAAACAATAATTTCACATCCGCCAAAATTGGACAGATTGATTCGGGGGTCGTGAAGTAAAAGTGGACGTGAAGTGATTGGATATGTGAAGATTTTATGGACGTAAAATAACACGGCATAAAAATTGGCACCAAATTAAAGATTAATGAAATTGCAGAAACAGATTTGTCCATAAAAATGTAACTATTTGGCGTCTCTCTGTACATAAGTGAAAATCATTATTTTTACATGGGTTTTATGTTATGTTGGTACATGTTTGTTGTAATTTTAATGAAAATAGAAAAAAATTGGAGTTATATGACATTAATAAATTATACGATATATCATTTTATTTACTAACTAACACTAAAAAGTAATTTGAGTTTCAAACCAAGTCTATTTTATAGAAAATCTGTGTTAGAATGGGGGAGTCTGTTATTTGTGCATTAATTCACATTTAGACAATCTGTGTAATAAAAATGTATTGCTGGTTGCCTGCTTTTAAAACAATGACACACATTTGTGAGGAAAACAAACTTATAGACATGCTTTGAATTTACAGGGAACGCTAACAAAGTGCAGCCGCAGCATCTCAAATATACACGGAAGAATACTCCAAAGAAAATGAAGCAACGAAAAAACAAGAAATGAGGGCAAAAAATGTTGAAATCGAATCAACAACGAGCACTAGGTGACCTTTGTGACTTTTTTCTTTAGAATCCCTTGAAAAAAAAAATTATTCAGTTTTTTTTATTACTTTAAGACCACTACCTCTGAGACAATTCTCGGTTTTCCAATTTGGTACACACCCCGAACGAGGCGCTAGCGCAGAACCTACGCCTGCTACTCACCGTTTCATTGCCGATGACGCATCCCTCCATGGGCAAGTTCTGGACGCACAGCACCACCTCCCTGCCCTGGCCGATGTAGTGCGCCGCGAGGATCATGCTCGTCATCGCCCTGGTGTTGTCCGTGATCACGAACAGCAACACCCTGCTCCTGTCCATCACCTTCTTCCACTCCAGAACGTCCGGATGGGGGGTCGTCACGTTGTCGTAAACGAACTTATCACTAGCGTCGTCGTCCTCCCTGATGGCGGGGTTGTAATAGATCAGGCCGTGCTTCTTTATCAGGGGGATGGCGATGTCCCGTCGCCACGTTATGTCCGATGACATGGAGCCGCCCAGGAAGATGTCCACCGTGTGTATCGAGCCGTTGTCGGGCGGAGGGGAGGGCGGCTCGATCAGGCACGTTATGTGGGAGTTGGTGAGGTTGCAGGTGTTGTTGTTCGTCGAGCACTGGCGCTGGAAGGGCTGCGTCGCCCAGACTGCAACGGATAAATAAATAGAGGATCGGCGAATCGCTTTGTAACGTTGCGACGTGAATGATTAATCTTTCGACCATTGAAAAGCGAATAGTGACGTGGATGGGCCATAATTAATAACGATTCAAAGTTAAATCGTAGTCCATTTCGAAACTATTCAATTATTTAATACAGGGTGTTAAGAAATTACACGTGAAGAAATTACGAGACCATTCTATCAGGGTTGAGATCGTTTAAATAAATCATACGAGTAAAGTTATAATTAGAATCGAAGGAAATGAATTTTGAGTGTTTTTTTATGAATATTTTTTGCATAATTTATTAAATATTAACTAATATTCATATGTGGGCAGATGTACGTCATCAATTTTAGTAAAATTAATTAATATTTTAAAATAATTATTTCTGCTATTTTATAAAACATATATAATAAAAAAATTAATGAAAAATACTTATTAATTTGATCGATTGAAATGTTTTTTTTTAATTATTTCAAGTTTTCATTAAAAAAAAATTGTTACAATTTCTTTTAAGAGGGCTCTATAGCAAATAGGCAACCAGCAATACATTTTTATAGATTTTATTGCACAGTTTGTCTAAATACGAATTAATGCGCAAATAAGAGACTTTCCCCCATTTTAACGCCGATTTTCTATGAAATGGTCTCGATTTGAAACTCAAATTACTTTTTGTTGTAAAGGAATTTGTAATTTACGATTCAAATTGCAAATTTCTTGATAACAAAAAGTTATTTGCGTTTCAAGCTTAGTCCATTTCATAGAAAATCTGCGTTCGAATGGAGGAAAGTCTGTTATTTGTGCATTGATTCGTATTTAGACGAACTGTGTAATAAAATCTATAAAAATGTATTGCTGGTTGCCTATTTGCTGTAGAGCCCTCTTAAAGCACTGTGTTTGGTTCGTGAATTTCAGCGTCTCAATGACCTTGACCAAAAACCAGTGTTAATTAGGCAAAATGATCACGATAATTTACGATTCAAATTATGAATTTCTTGACAACAAAAGGTAATTTGCGTTTCAAACTAAGTCCATTTTATAGAAAATCTGCGTTAAAATGGAGGGAAGTCCGTTATTTGTGCATTAATTCATATTCAGACGAACCGTGTAATAAAATCTATATAAATGTATTACTGGTTGCCTGTTTGCTATAGAGCCCTCTTAAAGCACTGTGTTTGGTTCGTGAATTTCAGCGTCTCAATGACCTTGACCAAAAACCAGTGTTAATTAGGCAAAACGATGTGTTTGTGCGTCTTCATTATTAAATTGCTCCGAGATATTATAAAAAAAAAAAACGTATCTGAATTAAGAAAGATCAGATTTTATGACGATGCATGCGTATCTCCCAATTGGGAAGGTTACACTGTCCATCGGTATGAAAATTACAAAAAAAAAAAGTATTTATTTTAAAAGGTCAAATAGGAGTGTCCCGTTCAAAGTAACACCCTGTATAATAGTAAACATTAAAATCTGCCAAATTATAATAATTTCTTCATAAAAATTATGAAATTTTAAATTAACCACAAATTACCGGGATTTGAGGAGACAGTTTGATCGCAAAGCATTAAATGTGTTTTTCCCAGAAACGATTAATATTATCGACATGGAACAAGAGGTTCTTTTTATAAGAAATTTTAATGATCTTCGATGTTACGCTGTTTAACAATTTTGAAAAATGACAAATAAAAAAGTTGTGACCAATTTTCTAATCAGTAAGGGCTATTTAAGCCCCTTAAAAGGTGTCTATAGCAAATAGGCAACCAGTAAAACATTTTTATAGATTTTATTACACAGTTGGTCTAAATACGAATCAATGCACAAATAACAGACTTTCCTCCATTCTAACGCAGATTTTCTTTAAAATGGAGCGAGTTTGAAAGTCAAATTACTTTTTGTTGTCAAGAAATTTGTAATTTGAACCGTAAATTACAAATTTCTTTACACCAAAAAGTGATTTAAGTTTCAAACCAAGTCCATTTTATAGAAAATCTGCGTTAGAATGGAGGAAAGTCTGTTATTTGTGCCTTGATTCATATTTAGACAAACTGTGTAATAAAATCCATAAAAATGTATTGCTGGTTGCCTATTTGCTATAGAATCCTCTTAAGGCTTCAGAACTTTAATGTCCCTTTTTTTTTACAAGTCCATTTTAGTACCAATAATAAGTTTATTGCAAAAAAACACTGGTAATATAATAATTTAAAAAAATTATTTTCATAAATATCATCAAATTTTTTTCTCGTAATTTCCGAACGCCCTCTATTTCAAATGAAAATTTTTGAAAAAACGGTAATACAATTATTTAAAAAAATTACTTTCATAAGTATCAAATTTTTTGCTTGTAATTTCCGGACGCCCTGTATTTCAAATGAAAATTTTTACGAACGTAGCTATTTTCAAATAATCTAAAATGTTCAAAACCAAGATAGAGCAAATAATTAGGTACTAACTTGGTACGACGGTGATGGCAACGAAACGAGAAACACAAAATAAAAACAAGCACATGATAAACTAAAAAAACTAAGAATGGAGAGGTGAACACTTTTGAGGAACCAAACAAAAATCGATGGCGGCAAAAAAAAACCAAAAGGAAACCATTCGAAACGAGGCAATACCTAAAGCATTAGTTATGGGACGTAATACAAATGATTTGAGCAAGTATCGGGTCTTCAAAAGTGCGCACGTCCAATATAAAGCACTATAATAGACTCTACCGTCGCTGGAGCACATGTTACATCCGTCGGCGGACGAGAATTCCGCCATGAGGGCGCAGAACCTCTCGAAACTTATCGTGGAATTTGTGATGTTTCCGTTCTGTGGATTGAGGTAGTTGTACAGCCTGCTGATTTCCAGGGACCTGTTCGTCAGTTTCTCGTACGCTTCCAGCACATTGTAAAGCTTCATTTCGCCTCCATAGGAGTCATAAACTTCTCTCAGTTTCCTGTAAACAAACACGAAGTTATGTCATTCCTGATAAACTTCAACAATTTATCCCACTTCTGATTTTGTCATGTCCTATATCCCTAAAAAAAGGCATTTATGATCCAATACACATCTTTTTTCTGCACTCCAAAATATTTCAATACATTTTTAACGTCAATGCCTGAATTTTTTTGCTGAGAAATTCGTATCAAGTGTAGCAATTTTTTTTTTCATATTGCATAGCTCTTATCATTTCATTTCATTCTTTCCCAAGACATCCACACAAATAACGGCTATATCAATTACATAAAGCATTAAAATTTTCGAAATAATTTATTCAAATTAAGTAATAATCGTTAAGTTTGAATATAAATGCTATTCATTTATAATTAAAAATGTACGTAGGTAATAACAAATTCAGGTAAATTTACTTAATTACAAATATTTTAACCGAGTTGCCAACCCAACTTCCAGAATTGACTCCACTGGATTTCGTCATGTAGATTGTATTTAAATAAAAAATATGCAGATTGTTTTGAGATAATAAATGCAAACTAAAAGAAAAAACATTAAACTAAGCGTAATATCATTTTTATAAATCCCACTTCTGACGAGACACCTAAAAAATATTTATCGGACATTGAAGATGTGAAAAAACGACTTCGAATACATTTAAAATTATTTTATTTCGTCCTGATGTTTGAGAAATATCACACTTGCCAACGTGATAAGGATTTCTCGTCGATTTCAACAGTCAGAGGCGATCGAATCATCGACAAATAAAACAAATAACAGATAAAATTAATGAATAAGCCGCCAAGTCGCCGTGATAAGATAAAAATCAAACAATAAAATACAGAAATACACCTGCAGTTTGCATTTGTACAAATGAAAATTAAAAAAATTTAAATCTTTTTACCTGAGCTTATAAGTAATCTGTTCCTCCGCACTCGTACCGCTGTTGGAAGTATTCCTCAAAATATTCGCGGTGCACTGCAGAGCCGTCGCTAAACTCGTGTGAATCTTAACGCCCTTGCTCTTCACCAGATCCAGCAGGCTCTTCTGACTGTTGACAAGGTCCCTGTATTCCCTGAAAATTCAGCATCCTGAATTTCGTTTAAAAAAGATCAAGGACGACGGGTGAACGAGAGACGATAACAACTTCGAAGCTGTATAAAAAGCGGTCACTCACTTATCTGTGATGGTTTCGCCCATTATGGCCTGGCCCTGCTTGTACGGCTGAGCTACGACAACGACGCACCGCCCTGAGGCTATGAGGTACGCCACTTCGATCATCCCCACGGTACTCCTGGTCTGGCTGTCTATCACGAAGAGTAGCACCGAGGCGGCCTGTTTGGCGTCGTGCTCCTGCGCCACCAGCTCTGGGGCCCAGATGGATACTTGCTGGAAGAAAAGCACGTTGCAGTACGGAGGGAGACCTCGAATATTTCAGATTAACGTTAAAAAAAAAATCTTACTGGATTGTAGAACGATATCCCGTGTTTTTGCAGCTCAGGAATTGCAGTGTCGGTACGCCATGTCGTTGGATTACAAGAGCCCCCCAGGAATACATCACATTTGTTCAGGCATTCTGAAACACGAACGCAAGAGGCTCCTAAAAACATGCTTAACCACAAAAAAAACAGATAAAGGCATTATTTTAAATTTTTGTTGTTTTATTTATAAAACAAAAGACTGCTGTGCATGTCAAAGCTTGCTAAGACTATTTTTTTTAAAGCTTGCTAGGGGGGGGCTTTCAAAATTAAAAAATCGTCCTTACTGTTGTTGGCTTTCGATAGGGACGTCTTCCTCTGCTGCCTAGGGCTCTGGTTTTGCATTTCTCTGACGAAAACGCAAAACTCTCCAAAAGTGATGTAGTCCGTGGCCCCATTTCTTCTACCGCACTGCCTTGCACACTGAAGCATTTTTGATACTGCAATAGAAAGGACTCGGTGAGAAAACCATAGTTCTTCGGTAAATCTCTTTTATTTGTAATTTAAACGGAGAGTTAGCGACGTCATTTTGTTAGGTTATGATATTGATTTTTTGTTTTGTTTACGATTCGCAGGTAGTACAGGTGAGTTAAGGCGAATTCACGCGGTGTCCCGGTCCTTGCCCCGACCGAAAAATAACGGAGCGGTAGGGAACGAGGTCCGCGAGGCACCGCAGACCACGGTTTTCTTCGATGCCGCACCACCGCACGTTCTTTCTGCTGCCGACATTTGATCAATATTTTTGTTACATTATCGATTACGTTAGTTACAAAAATTCAATTAAAATATGTATCAGCAAAATGCAATTTCCATTTGAGAATAGAAACTGATTGATATAATACAAGACGAGTCACTGACAAAATTCGAATATTAAAGATATTAATGTATTACCGAAACAAATTAAAAATAATCTTGCAGCGATGAGTTTTTTGTCGTTGTCGACCCAAGTTGTTGATTAGTTTTTTATCAATGATGACCTTTAGCATGACGTTTTAAATCATTTTACACAAATTAACAATCGCGAATGTCTGAGTGTAAATGAGTGTAAAGAAAAAACCTATTTAACGGTTTAAGGTCGTTCCACAAAAAAATAGCGACTTTGCTAGCGTGTTCCAACCAGTCACTTACGCGCACAGAATCCATAAAAAAATTACCTTGTGATTTGGACGGAAACAGGTGCATATCATTGAACAAGGCCTGCACAGAATCTTCCGGAATGTGTAGAGTATCCCCTAACCTAACGCAAATCGCATTATACACCTCCCTGGAACAAAGGAAAAGAAAAACAAATTAAAATCGCATCGCAATCGCAAGACACAATGCGGTAATAGTTTAAAATAATCACCAATTGAAGTGTATCTTATATAAATAAATTGTTGCGAAACGTATCGATTACACAAGTAGTTATACTCGCATTGTGTACTATTTATCACATCTTGTAAAAGATTAAAGGAAACGGATACGTACTTCACAGTCTCTCGAGACTTAGCCGGCCACGTATTTAAATGCTTCTGGACCATCTCGATGGACGAGCGTTAATTTTTTAGCGAGAAACGATCCGACTTCTCAGAACTAGACAAAAATTAAGACTAAATTAGGTACCTACTCGTCGTCAAGTGACAGGGGCATTTTATCTATATACCTCCCAAGATTACAGCACGATAAAAATCGATAATCGAAAAAATTTTAATGCTCAACTTCGCGTTCAATAAAAATTTATTTACAGAAATTCATCACTATCAGCGATGCGATGTTTCGAAAAACCTATTATGTATTTACTCCTGTTTGTAAACATGACGTCTCGGTCCGCGACATGTTAAGAAGGTCAGTCAGATATTAAGAAATCATCGGCAAGGGGCGAAAATAATGGCGTGTTTCTCGTTTGATAAAAACCATCAAGCGCAATTCAACAACAATAACAATTACTTGAAACGGTTTTCAGAACGCCAATAATTTAAATGTCTTCGAGTAAAAGAAGGAAGAAGAAGAGCATGATGAAAATGCCAAGGTGTATGCACGACAAGTAAGCTCAACTGATATTTGAAGAAAGTACAGAAAATTATTAAGTAAAACCAAGAAAAACAGGTGGAAGTGGAGAAAACAAAGGAAAAAATAAAATAAAAACCTATGAAAAATATTTTTTTGAAAATGCCCTGATTTCTTTTGGGAAAAGTGATATAATTGACTCAATAAAACATTTCGAATAGTCATTAAATGACAAAACTATGACATATATCGTTGAATTTGTAATTAAAATTTATCATATAATTAAAATATAAAATGTTACTCAGAAATGAGGAAATTAATTTGTGGCGAAATCAAAAGCTTAACAATTGAATGACTGCCATAGAAACGACGAGTTCTTACATCATGATCTTTTAAAACCGATATTTAATTGTTTTTCTGATTGCATATTCTCTTCCTGCAGTTTTTTCATATGTATACAATCTATTCCGTATTATACTCATTGTTGAGAGACTTTTGTTTCCTTAAATAAAAATAAGCGTTATCTCAACTCATTGGCATTGGCATCAAAACCGCGAAAACCACATCTTAATATACCATATACCTCTCCTTTTGTTTTAATCTACATACTTCTAGAAAACGGGGTGCAAGGTGACTCGACATTATCAGGTGCGATCATTCTGTTCACTTAATCTAACCTCTATGTTTCGTAAAACATTACTGGTATCTTAACTAGCATCATTATGTAATTGCACTGACATCATCGTTTTTTTGTCAAAAAAATTTACAGGAGGTCAGTGATCCGCCTTATTCACCCAAACTAAGGATTATTTTCTATCTCAAACAAAGCTAATTATTGATGTTGATTAAACAAGAATTAATAACTGAATTATATTTTTTTATTTAGCAGACTTTGCACCCAATGCAAGACTCTAGAAATCTTCTAAGATTCGCGCTGGTAATAAACATAATCAAGAATTACTGTGTACGCAGAGGGGATTAGTGTTATCAACAAATTAAGGATGTCTATTTAAACGTCCTTAACTTGCTGATAACATATTAATCTCTACATTGTGCCGTGCTATATTTATACCACGTTAAATTCAAATGTAAACATCAAACCCTAACCCGTAATTTGAATTTTATCAGCAGTGTTCAATCGGTATCCAACATTATCCAGATTTTGTTTATTTTTTCGTTGTGAATAATGTAACGGCGAAGGCAGGAGTGGAGAAACTTGCGAAATTTACATATTAAAATCGAATTATATCGCAAAATAAGAACTGAAGATATCAATCAACGCAATAATAACGCCCATGGAATGTATAAACATTTAATAAAATGGACAGAGATCGTAGAAATATTCGCATTAAAAATTTTAAAATCCGTAAGTTTTACGTCAACGCTGTTGGGCCCGAAACGCGTTCGAATGTTTACCTTGCAACTACATCCCACACAAGTTCAATTTTAACACGAAAATAGCCCGTCAAGCAGAGTCAAATTAAACCAGCGGCGGCTCGTCGTGATGGACACACAAAGTATCTGTCGCATACAATTTTCCTGCCATTGGAAGCAAGTATTCCTGTTTCCAATTTACCAAAAATTATTAAGTAATTCTAATTGACAAAGATGTACGTCGTATACTATAGTAGGATCGTATTCGATGCAAAGTAGAGGAAAAAATTGTCGGTCTTTTTTCAAAGGAAAATCGTGTCATCATTTTAAGAGGCGTAAGATGAATCGTTTCAAATTTAAAATGAAACTGAAGGCAAAATTTGAAATACTGCTGCATATGCACTGTGTTCTGGTAGTAGCTGTAGTCGCCCAGGTGCATCGAGTGTACGAAGTGGTCGGTTATACGTCAAATACTAACCTGGCGAGCCTGATCGATCAGAGACCGCCTCCAAAAAAAAAGTAAACAACAGTGGCGCGTACAGAGGTAAAATGTAGTACATACATATGTGGAATTTAAAAAACAAATTGGATTTATAATAAATTACATTTAAAATAAATATTTTATGAGAATAAGGGATTTTTTTGTAGGAACAAGGGTGCCAGACGTGAACTGATCCCTTCGTTCCTTTATAAATGCATAAATTATTCAATTTCTTAACCCCTTAAAAGCGTATTGCACTGGATCCCTTGATAGGCAATGATTTAATACTTTACATCGAATGTGATCTTACTATAGTTTATAATATATGCCTGAGTGGGCAAGCCGTACTTTTGCTATTTTCCGCCAAAAGTAAATATATTTTTCTCGATTTTGAGTCCCATGTTTACTTTCCCTGAAAGGTTTAATTGCTAATTGCTAAATAAATAATATGCGCGCCAAACCCGAATTGTGGGCTTGCCCATCGGCCAATACCGTGATTGCTCGGATGTTTCCGCGGTTCGTGTCAAAATATCAACGGTTTAGTTAGTAAAGCTTAAAAGTCTAGATAATGTTTATTTTTTTAAATAAAACGTGACAAATTACGCGCTTCAATTGGTGACAAAAAAATTGTGGGTAAACAGTTTGTGTTAAACAAATTAATAAAAAGAGAGGTTGTCTCAAAGAAATTACAACACATTTTCTTCACTTCGGATAATTTATTTAAGAGCAATTATTTGTAAGTGTATTTATTATGAGATCTACATTGAATTTCGCGATCGCCCATCAGAAATACCCGTCATGTTTTTTTATTTTCGCGTTTCGTGATCAGAATTTTAATGCTGTTTTGATAGAGACATGAACAACCTGTATAACTTTTGAAAATTAGGAGTTTCAGTAAGGTTTGTATGTTTTTTTAAACAAAAATATCAAAATGAACAGATTTTTAAAAGTTATTGAAGTGTTTTAATAGAAAAATGTAAATATTTACTGTTTAATGAAAAAAAGCGAAGAGAAACTAGAAACAACCCGCCCGCTCAGCGAAAAGCAGCGGACCGCTACTGACTAAAACCAATCGAAACTTACAAGTACGCATACAGAATATGAAGTCCCTCAACGTACTTTTTCTGAACCATATTAGCGGCCCTGTGTTGGAAGATGCCTTCCGCGTAAATGCACAAAAACATTAAACTTAAGACTTAAACGAACCGAAAACGCACACGATCACATCCTCATTTCTTCGCTAACACTAAACGACTGGCTGGTGAGGCAAAAACACGATATTTTATTATCATTAATTTGAGGTTACCGCGGACCGCGTTTATACCGACACGATCGCATAGGACGGACGTCGCGTTCTCTCTGGCTTCTGGCCATTCGGCTTCGAGACGATGCAGCGGAATGAGCTAAGTTTAACCACAAGGCAAATTATAACTTAACTCTCGTTGAGTACTGTTAGTTTTGCGGCCCGATATGATATAACTGGAACGAGGATGATCTCTATGTAGGGAAGCAATCGATTCGGTAGGCGATTAGGAAAAAAAAGTGTATGGCCAATTCGGGTCCCGTGGTGCTCTGCCCACGGATTCGCTACGTATATCGAAACGTCGGCGGATGGATTAGGCATCGAATTAAAAATGGAAATTCTGTTTGGACTTGCTAGAGATCATAATATTATTGTTTCTACGAGCCCTGGCTGGTTTCTCGGGCATTCAATCAACTCGGGCATTTTTTTTTAACAAAGAAATTAATTTTGAAAGGTCCTGAAATGTGAAAATCTAAACAGGCAATACTTTATGGCTTGCAGTTAAAGATCCAATATTTTAAATTTGTAAAGTAAATAATTGTAGTTCTAAGTACAATAAACACGGCTGGACAGTAGGTGTGACAAGTATTTAATGAATTTGTGCACAGTAACAACTTATTAAGTAAGAAAAACATGTTTTATAAACGTAGGTCGTTTTCGAGATACAGTGTTACTTTTATTAAAAAAAAATACCACATTTATTTAAATATCTTTCATCAAAATGTTTGACGTACATAGACTGGATTAGGATTAAATAAATTACGGACAAAATTCACTGAGTTGCTGCTTTACAAATTTGTCAACCAGTGGCGTAGATATTGTCTCTAAGAATCCTAGAATGTCAACGCCACTGAATGTTCTGTTGGTGCTTCTAAGAAAAAAGACTATTCGAAAGCGAACATTTTTTTCAAATTTATAATTCCTCGATATACTAGTTATTTACACCATAAAGGAGGTAAGTATTATTTACCAGTAGCGGACGATTTTGCGCCCGAGCGGAGCGAGGGCTGGCAATAGAGCCCGGTACTGGTAAATTATGCTTAACAAATCGGTAAAAACAATTCAAAACTAGTACGACGCCACAAAATTATTTACATATTCCAATAACATAACCTCATTA